AAGCACGATCGCTCCAGTTTCTGCCCTCGACAATGGGCATCTCACGGCCGAGGTAGCTTCCAGGACCGTCAAGAATCTCGTGGGAGTGGCCGTGCTCCTGGGCGTTGAAGCCGCCCTCGTGGGAGTGCGCGTGGCCATGAGGGCCGTCGTGTGAGTGCTCGTGAGACATGATTGTGTGAGAAAGGTGTGAGTCGTGCTTAGATGAGAATTCTCCAAAACCGACTTCACGGTTGTACGAGGAAGGGAGGTTTGTGAAGCTGTGGCTTATATGGAGGAAGCTGTTGAAGAATGGCGGGGTTACGTCTGAGCGTCAAGGGATCGCGGGGTCCTGGACTTATCGCCAGCGATAACATCTCAGCGCGTTGCGCCTGGGCGTAGGAGAGCTGGTCCCCCCACGGCCGCCGCCGGCGCACTGAGTGCGGGGACACACCGCTCCTCCGGGTCCGCGAAAAGAGAGACTCCCGTAACGAGACGTAGTACTCGACTAGTACTCACAGATCGATCATCTCTGTCATTGCAGCCATTGGATTTCGCCGTATCGAATATCAAGAGTCCCGCATTTGGTGAGCAGAGAATAAGTACCTCTACTTGTGAAGCATCTTGTATACGTGCTGCCGCCCGTCGCACCTACTAGGGGCCGTAAATATGCTCATGCGTGAACCATGCACCAATCCCTTCCAACGCCTAAGAAGATATGCATCGCGAACCATAAATAAAACATCTTATGCTCTCCAGTTTAAGCTCCCTTCACTCAAGCTTTGGCCGGCGAACCACCGCTCCCCTCATCCTTGGGCTTAGGCGGCTTCGGCACCCTCTCATACGCATTCGGGCTAGGCCGCCTCTTCTCGCTCCCCTCGCGACCAGCCTTCCTCCCATGCCCGTGGCCGCTGTGGTCGTGATCGTGGTCGCCGCAGTCGTGGTCATGGTCTCCCCGCTTACCGCTCTTCTTTCCTTTACCCTTACCCTTGTGGTCTCCCGAGGGTACCCTCCTACGCCCGCCGTTGGTGTCCGCCTCCGAGTCGGATGAGTCGTCAGAGGAGTCCGAGGAGGACTCGTCGCTGGATTCGTCTACGCCTTTGGGGCGGTGGTAGATGCAGCAGACTGTCAAAGATGCGTTAGTAAGTCATGCATGTGACGGTAAGAGGGGGAGAGAGGGAACGTCAGCTCGCCTTTTGAGCTCTTGCGTCCCAGGCCCTCGTTATCCACCACGTCTTCCGCCCATCGCACCGACTGCCTAGATGGAGCGTGGGCACCTCTCAGCCGTAGAATTGCCTGCGTGCCCGTCCTGCTCTGCGTTTCTGTCTGGGTCTGAGAGGGGCCTGGTGCCGAGCGCTGCGGCAAACGGTCTTGTAAGCCCGCCATTGTAGTGAGAAATTCGGTACAAGGAAGTTTTGTGAACGTCGAAGGGTGGGGAGGTTTGTGTGGTCGTGTGATGCCGATGCAGTCACTTCTCTTCGCGGGGGCGCTTCTCACACCGATGAACCCCCAATATTGTAAAGCTTGCTGGGACTTCTCGAATAGTGAACTTGATGCAGTCGCAAACCTATAGCTGTTGTGCGTGTCGAGGCGTCTGTCGCGTGCAGATTCGTCACCCGGCGGGAAGATCGAGGATATTCAGGGGTTCGTGTATCCGTAGGGATTTGGCTTTTTGTAAGTTTGGAGGAAGGCAAACAGGGTGGGATGCTTTCTCAATCCTTATTTTTTCCTGGAGGGGCGGGAAAGAATGCGGGCGACGGTCACAGGCCAAACATGGAACCCCCCGATTATTCAGGTACAGCCTGGGCACGACCCGGGCGATTCAGTGCTACCAACCCCACGTCATTCCCTGAAGATCCACAGCCAACCGACAGCCAAGGCCCGGAGCCACGGCCGGGCCAGTCATCCCCAGGAACGCACCGGTGCCGCGAGAAGGTTCCGGATTCGGTGTTTCAAACGGTCCCGGGTGCCGGTCATTGTCAAGGATTCATTCACTCCGTTATTCAGATTGCATCCAGGGTTGATGACACGCCGCGCATTGTTCACGCGTAAAGTGGTTTTGGGAATGGTCCATGCCATCAGTCATACATCAAAAAACCAGCGACGCCTCTGTCCCGTCCCGCCCTATTTCCCTTAAATTCGCCTACGAATGGTTTCGAAAATAAGTAGAAGTTAGAGAAAGACTAGAGACGAGGGAGACGCCTAGAGATAGGGGGCAGGTACAGAGACCGGGGGGGGGGGGGGGGGGCGCTTAGAGATAATGGAAAAACTAAGGACGGATATGCTAATGGAAGTAGTAGACCTGTGTAGTAGAGTTGTGTGGTAAACTTATATAGTGAATGGCCGGTTTTCATTATTGTTACATGGTGTTTACATATGGGTATCGCATGTAAATATTCTACAACTGATGTACATAGTATGTGTGTTTGTGGGGAGATGTTACAAGGCTATTCAAGCAGCCGCCGCAAGAGCTCTCTTGGCTGCCTTAGCCGCTTTCTTAGCACCCTTCATGCTCTTGCGAGGGCGGCTCTTTATCACCTTCTTGGGGGACTTATTCAGAAGCCAAGCGTTCATCGGCAGACGAGTGCCAACGAACCTGCCCTCAGGCGTCCAGACCTCAACGACGGGCCAATTGGGCTCATCAAGGCTCCGGGCGGGTTTCGCGGCCATCTCCTCCTTCTTCTTTAGCTTCTCGGCCGTCTTCTTCAGCCTATCGACCTGGAGGAGACCGGCCTGGTTGATCGATGCCGCTTCCATCTTGGCGAAACCATTCTCAGGCTCAGGCTCATCCTCATCCTCAGGTTCAGGCTCAGGTTCCTCGATAAAGGACGGCGCGCAGCCGGCAAACAGATCCTTGGTCCGAACCTGCGCAACGATCTCGACCCATCCGCACCCCTCGATGAGGATGTCGGTGGCCACCACGCGCCAGGGGAGGTCCTCGACCTTTCTGCGGCCGACGTCCTTGCGAGTGAGGGGGCCGGCGCGCTCCTTTGTTACGTCGTACTTGAGCTCAAAGGAGCCCGCGAGCTTGAGCTTCTCCGCGAGTCCGGGGGCAGCGATGTTGGGCACGCGGTCGGATTCCCTCGTCTGCTGCTGGAACTCGATGGCCTTCTCGGTGGAAGTCGCGTGTTCGGGGATAGGGGTGAAGTTGTAGGCGAGGAAGACGAGGTCCGGCGTGGTGGGTGTGATGCGAATCAGGCTCCCGAGCAGGAGAGACTGGCCGGGCTTGAGAGACTGCTGCTCGGGCTTGATTCGGTGGTGCATGATGAGATCTTTATGGTGCTCGGGTTTGACGTATCTCTCGAGATCCGATCGAGCCACTCCAGGTAGGTCAATTAACTCGCCCTTGCCGTTACCAAAGGGGATTCGGATAGGAGAAGCCGTCGTGCCTGGAAGAGAAGAGACCGTAGGCATCTCCGGATAATCTGTTTCAGGACGAGCAGGAGGCAGTAAAGCATCCACTTCGAAACGATCTGAATCGTTCTCAAAGCTTCCTCTCGTGGCATAGTGGGCACCGTCGCTATCCTCCTCCTTTGCAAACAAGGAGATCTGCACAGGGTTCTTTGAAGGGAGATATGCCGAGGTGCCCTTTGGAAATACCGAGTCAAACAGCTGACTCTTTCCAACATTGACCTTGCCGACCATCCAGCCCGCACCGCCGCGCTGGTAAATTTCCTCTTTGAGCGTCTTGGTCCACCAGCCTCGCTGGGCGCTGACACACTTGACGTTGCCCAGTCTGATAAGCTGTCCAAATTTGCCTAGCGACCGGCGCAGGACCTCTCTCAGGTACGGCATGAGCGAGTCCACCTGCTCCTTCTTCGGCGCCAGCAAGTCTGACCGTGTGATGATGAAGCTCATGTCGAACTTTCGGTCCTTGAAGTACCTCCCAGCCCTGTTCCTACGGTTCTTATGCTTCAAGTTGGCGTCGAGGACTTGGTGCAGTTTCGGAATGAACGACATTGGGAAGTCGGCGGCGTCAATTACGTGGTAGATGTGGTTATTCTTGAATGGGGACTCCTCGATCGTCTCACGCAGGGCGTCGACCGTCGGATGGTAGATTGGCTCTCCGGCGTGGTGGTGCACCAACTTGTGGCATCGATCGCAGAGCGGTACTCTCTTTGGTTTGAGACCTGGTGCTGTTGCAATTTGTCAGTAACTACGGTAGACGCAGCACAACAGTAGAATACGCACTTGTCACGTCCGGACCCAGTTCCTCCCCAAAACGCAGCGACTTCGGGTCCAGGCCAAGTTCAGCAAGCTGCTCCTCGCTCATGTTCTGCAGGACCTCATCAATGACCTTGTCTTCCTCCCGTGCCTCCACTTCCGCATCTTCCATGCTATCCTTGGGCGCGAGATACTCTTTCACGGCTTTTCTGCTCAGGTCGTAGTACCCAGCATGCCCGGCCTCCGTCGTTTGGCTCAATGCGCCGCAGCCATTACATGACAGCGGAAGGGTTCTCCGTGGGATCTTGGTCGGTTCGTCAGCAGGAGGCAACGGGGCCGCCGCTGCCGGCTCGGGTATCGTGGTCGCCTCGACGTGCATACAGCGTCGCTGTCTGTAGGGAATGTTGCGATGCGCATCACCAGCCGGCGCAAAGCAAGGTCGCGCAGACGCGGTGGTGAGCGATGGGCAGAGGTAGACCGGGACTTCACCCAAGGCGGCCCGGTCTCCAATGCTCATTGCACTCCTGAGCCATCTCGACGATAATGCGCGATGCATCATTGCAAAGGCATCAAGAGAATGTAGTAAGTTAGATTCCAGCTTCAGGACTTTTGGGGGTCCTTGTAGCTTTACGACCAAACAAGCACCTAGGAAATTCTAGAAATTTTGGGGGGCGATCAACGCCCGAGCTGCACCGATAAGAGTTCCAACACTCCTTATCGCCGGACAATCATTTGCCCCCGTCCCGAAAAGTCCAAGGGTCGCGGGCAATTTTCAGACTCCCGACCGCGCGACTGACATCGAGAAAGTGCTTGGTGTGAAGTGCAGTTTCGAGATACCCCCCAAGAGACTACCGCCCAAGATGACTCGTGTAGGAGCGAGATGGCACGCTCTGAGAGCTGTAGGTTCCTTTGAGCCATTGAAATGTTTATGACGAATTGAGAAAAGCTAACTTTTGGTGAACAGAAGGTACTTACATCCCGCTCGAGACCTACACCCCCCGATGTAGCTCCCAGGAGTAGCTTCAATTGACACCCGCCAGATCCTCAACATCCGCTTCGGCCTCGGTGCCGCAAAACTCCCTCCGAATGTCACGAGGATACATATGGAGTTCGCCAGACGCGTAGATGGCGGCCACTTCGGACCCAAGTTCGTCTCCCTCCTCTACGAGAGCTTCACCACCTCTCTTCAAGGAACACCAAACTAACCATCTCTTTTCCAATCTTCCACAGGAAATTCTGGCGCGACATGCTCCCCCGCCTAAAATACTACAACCCCGCCGTCCCCATGATCGTAAACCGCAAAAACAACAACGAAGGCGCAGCAATCATGTCCGTTTACTTCTCCACCTCAGGCGAACCCCTCGAACCCTCCACCCTCCCGCAACCCCCCTCCTCGGCAATCGACAACTCCAAAGCGCCCGCACCCCTCGAAGGCCTCGAGCGCGTCGTCAAAATCGACATGAAGAACAAGCACTCGGAAGAAATCTACGAACACTTCCTCCAAGAGACCAAGGCCGAGGCCGTGCTTCCCGGTCCCGAGGACGAGGCGGATATGAAGGCCGCCGAGGAGCTGAGGATCAAGGGCGAAAAGGACCGGAAGCGGCTGGCCAAGATCCTCGAGGAGGAGAGGAGGGAGAAGGCTATGCTTGCCAGGGCGCGTGCTGAGGCGAACTAATGATGCTAAAAGGGGGCGGAGGGGGGAGCAGAAGACCAAAAGGTTATGTACGAGGGCGGGCGTGGAGAAGAAACCGAAAAAAGTGTACGAATATCCTGTACAAAATGTACCAAAAAGAATCTCTGCAGAACGGGAAATGCTCTGAGTCGTACTATGACCAGTCTACTGGCTTGTTGGGTTACTGGACCAAGTCCCGGTCAAGATTACAAACGCTAGTTCAAGAGACACAGAATGATGAATTGTGGTTGGAAACCGAATGAAATCCTTTCCATTAAGACTACCCATGGACTCGTGCCCATGTTCATCCAAAACCTTGAAGCCGCCCACCGCCCAAGAAAGACCAACAAGCTGTAGGTCATTGTGAATCTACCAACCATACCATCTAGATGCATGCTGCTACCCTTTGCAGGGCTGCGGTTTGTCTTTCTGTTAACTCCGATATCGATGCTCCCTGTAGCTCATTTGACACATGATGCGCTTATTTCAAACCAAAGCCTTCGCTCTCGTGCACGGCGGTCCATAACATATGCTCCAGTCTCTCCCTCGACCCATAACGACGCAGGGCCAGCATGTTGAAGCAGGTTCGAGCGATGGGATACCTGTTCTCGTCATCGCCTAGACATGTAATCTTGATTGGGAGAAGAGCAGCACCCATGGCCGGCACTCTGTCGGTACCGGTAATGAAGGAGAGAAGCTTCCTCTGCTCATCAGGAGTTGCATTCTTGAAGGCATCCCAGAACCATCCTATGACTGGCTCTACCCCATCAGGGTTCTTCGAACCCCAGTTGTCGTACTCAGCCACGCCCCTCAGGGCGTCCACGTCGAGTGCCGTATCTGAGCCACGAACAAGCAATTCAATCTCCTCGGGTCGAAACAGCGACAGCGCGTTGCCGCCACACACAGTGTAAAACCCACGTTTGAAGGGCTCAAACTGTCGGGCGACCGCCGTTTCAAGTAGGTACCTGACGTATAGTGTGACGTACTCTGCTCTGTTTGCATTCGTGACTGACTTCCTCTCTCCTCCCGAACACAGTGGGACCTGCATCACAGTTCCGTACTTCTCAATGTCCACAACAAAGTCCAGCTGGAAAGTCGTCTCAACGTCACCGTCAAACTCAAGAAGCTGTTTGAGGCCACTCGCTAAACGCGGGCGATATTCTGCTAGGTCTTCTAGCGTGTAGTTCATGGTTGGCCGAGGATGGGCAGATGAACCTGACGACGAGCTAGGGGCGGAAGCAAGAAGCTTTCGGAAGGCGAAAGGCGGCAGCGCCACGTCGAGAATGGTGGAGTTGTATATGGCCAGACCCATTACAACGCCAACCAGGAAGAATTGGTCAGAAGTCTCGAAGGCGTTAGGGTTGAAGTAGCAGAATTGAGAGTCCTCGTCGTAGATAAACATCCCTATCATGTGGTGTTAGAAACAGACTCAGACCTGACGCAGACCGATACGTACCATGCTCGGGGTTGAACACCTCACGCACGAGGAGAAGAAACCATTCTTTCTTCAAGCCACCTGCGTCGAGCCCCTCCTCGCCTTTGAAAACGATGCGTAACCCCTTCTTGATGTCTTCGCTCCCGCTTCCAATGACTTCGCTCACAGCCTTCAAACTGTCGTCAACCAGGCACTCCCTTCGAACATCAAGCACCAAGAACTGCGTAACGTTCCTCCTTGTCATGATGCTATCGAAGAAGGCATCCCGTGCCTTGGTCATCTGTTGTCTCCGTGCATCATGCTCCAGGATCTGGGACTTGGCCCACATGCTCAGCAAGAATGGATACTGGCAGAATGAGAACTTTCCCCTCTTCGATTCCCATGCTTCGAACTCGGCTACCAAGTCGGTGTAGTCAATCATGGTGTTGTAAAAGTCACTCGTAGGGATGATTTGTCCATGTGCCTGTATACCCCCTCTGTGAGTACTGCTACTCATATTTCCCATCTGATCCGGTCGCCGAATGTGCGTCATATTATTTGCCGCAAATACTAGAGAGAGAACTCTGGCGGCGGCCCGGATTTGCCAGTCTTCATTATATACCATCTTTTTCTGTTGCTCCTTCTGTTGCTTTGAGGAACTACGCTGCGTTCCTAGCGCTGCGTGCAGCGAGGCTGCTGAATGACCGGCACTCATGTTCGGAATTAGCCCGGCTGTTATGTCCACTCTGACCTCGTGTTTCTTCTCATTCTGGCGAATGAGTCTGTAAGTTAGGAACCCAGCGGCAAGGTCCTTGATCTTGATGAATCTAGCCTCGGAATACCGCGCGAACCAAGTAGTTAAGTGGTTTTGGCATGAAGTCGATGCATTCGAAATCAAGCCCAGGATTCGCTTGATAATGACGGAGTGTTGACCAGATACGGGACCGGTTTTCAAGGTTGATCTGTCTTCCCTAATAATCTCGTCGCGTTTCAGCGACGGACGTCTGCCATTGTTTCCTCGGCCTTGGAAGGCATTCGACTCTCCGTAGAGCAGCGGGTTCTCCAAGATGATGAGAAGATATCTCAAGTCTTCTGGATCAGTCATCGGCCGCCCAGGACGCTTGAGTAGTGTCTCGATGGCTTTCAATAGGGTCCTGTGGGTGTGGTCTTGGCCGAAGAGTAATTGGGACTCGATGGCCCGGAGCTCTGTTGCTGATAGCGGGTCTGCCTCTGAATCTCGGGTCATCTCTTCATAAATGGACATCCAGGATTCCGCAGCATTGATCACCGATCTGTACCACTCCGTAACTTGATTCCATTCCACCTGCGGCGAGCGAGACGTGATGAAAGAAGGGGCATCCTCCATCCGCTGTGAAGCCGATCGCTTGTGGCGTGTCCCTCCCTGACTTTGGTTCCCAGTCCACCACGTCCCGTTCTCGGCGAAGTCACCGAGCAACAGAAGCTTAGGATCGAGATCACATACGGGAGATTCGGAATGTTGCTCTGCGAACTTGGGCTCGGGCCTGGGGATTGGCGGCCGCCGTGATGCCGACTCACTCCCTGAGCGAGTGGCTACGACAGGCCGACGAGAAAGGAACGAAGAGTTGACGCAGTGAAATGAACTGAAGCAGGTGGTAATGTAGTCTTCCAGCGGCCTGAATATCCTCTTTGGATCATCGGCATCAAGGAACCTGGGGCCCGCCGGCCGCGGAGCACTGGCGTCTGCCGTGAGCTGGCGCATGGTGGGCCTCTCGGGGTAAGAAGACGAAAATGACCGGGCTGTCGGGGGCAGGCGCAGCGGATGCACGTTGGGATTTTGGCGGAGCGTAGGCTGCTCGGGGAAGAGGTAGCCAGAGCCATTACCTTGGCTTCTCTCCCGCCTGTGCTGTGGGCCTCCTGTCGTTCTCGAAGTGCAAGGCCGTTCACTCTGTTCCCGAAACGGACTGGGGGTTGCGTGCCTCTCGGCGACGACCTCGCGATGCTCATCTTCTGAGCTCGAGGACCTCCTAATCGCCCTCGCTAGATGTGCATGGATGGATTGCCGGATCAGTCTCTTGGTCTGGTCGAGTGAGATGGGCCTGGTCTCGTATCGTTCCGCCGGGCGTGTGGTCTGTTTCTGAGGCGACGTCGACTCTTGGGACGGGCGCTGTAGCCATTTGGGGCCGCTATTGGATCTGGCCGGTAGCTGGTCCGGGTGGATGTCATTGATGGTGACACAGACTGTGCACTTGAAGACCTTCAGCTCGCGTGGCCAGCGCACGAGAGAGCCGCAGGTCATGCAATTGCCAGTCGCAAAGTCCCTGCTGCCACCACTGGTGCCTCCCCTCTTGTGCGTAGTGTTATTGTTGCCGGGCGGCTTCGTCATGACGGGCGCATCGTCTTCGGAATCGGTGTCATGGGAGGTGTCGGGGCGCTTCTTCTTGCTGGAGAATAGCGAAGGAAATGGGTGGCTCATGGAGCGGGAATGTGTCGGACGGCGCGGGCGTCTTGGGTGGAAATCGGATTCGGAAGAGCTCGAGTCGGCATGGAGGTGGGAGTTATCCAAAATCACATAGCTGTCGGGCAGTCGTCCCAGCTGGCCAGGTGGTGCAGTGTGCGAGGGGCTGTGTATTCGGGAGACAAGGTCGGCGGAAGTTTGACGGAGAGTAGGAGGGCGAGGAGGTGGAGCATGACGTTGCGACGACCAAGGAGCCATGTTTGCGAGCGATGCCGTCTAAACTCTGCGACAACAGCAAGGGCACCTGGCCAGCTTGGTCTGCAAGCAGCAAATCGGCATGGAGAAATGAGGATGTACAAGAAGGCAAGGTTAGGTTTTCCTCACGGTCTGTCCTTTCTCTCTTTCTCTCTTTCGAAATGGTTTCTGCCACGCGCCCAGGGAAGGTAGTTGAAGTAAAAGTGAGACGATGAAAGACGAGGGGGGTGGGAAAGTAAGGTGCGGCTGGAAGTGGGAGGGAGAGAGGGGAGAGCCTGCACTTTGAATTGAGTTGAAGGCGTGTCTCGTCCAACAAGTGTGGATGTAAGTCAAAGGGACGAGACAGGACACGGCATGACACTTGCTGCAGGAGAGGACAGGCTTCACGATGCAGGTAGTAATAATAAGGCGCGCAAAGAGGAAGTGTCCGACGCACCCATGCCGGGATTATGCTGTTGTGATAGGTTCTAGCTGTAGAATGCTGCAGTACGAACATAACAAGAGGCCATAGAGCTAGAGCAACGCCGACAAGGCGGAGGGCCCAGCAGCTGGGAACCTCGATACCACAGATTAAGTGTGGACTAAGTGAAAGTGACAACGGCTTCGTTGTTTTTGTTATGGTTATGGTGTCAATAGGTCAGCTACGGTACTTGGAGCTTGGTGTGCTTAGGTCCGGCTGGAGGTAGTGCAATTGACCGTCTTTAGTGTCCCAGCCGACAATTTGCGCCGAGCACACGCACATACACACATACATGAGAAGAGGTATCAGACGACGGTACGGACATGTGAAGGGCATTCGGAGGTGATGGTCTTTGAACTGAGCGCCGCGCTGTGCGTTCCTCCAGAAATCCATCTTGGCCACAGGCCACACAGTACTGGGTAAGAGAGAGATTGTGTGCTGGGACGCGACTTCGACTCGAGCTCGGTCGAGGGAGGGAATTAAAACTGAACAATGTAACGGCAGCAGTGTCCCGAACCAAGACATTCCCTAATAATTATGCCAGGTTCCATGTTCTCTCATCTCAATCTTGTCAGGTCTCGTATTCGACAGTCGACGCTGGGAGCACATGGAGCCGAGAGCGAATCAGCAGGCTGCGTATGTCAGGGCAAACATATTAGTACACCAAAAGTGATTAAACTGCTGATCCCTGGTGAAGCGCCGGGTGGCTGACTGAGTGCCCTTTCAAGTTTCCCACAGATTCGTATCTCTCTCTCTAACATTGATGCCGAATGGTAACGTTCTAGAGAAGAAACGAGTTTACAGTTATACTCCGATACACGGTTCACTGCTCCTTACCTGACTTGCAGGTAGGTTTGTACTCGTGTCAAAAGACGAAGGTGGCCAGCTTCCATGTCTAATTATTGTACTACATATCAGTATGAACCTAAGGCAAGGTACCTTGATGCATGAACTGCTAAAGAGCCTGCTGTAATTAAGGTCCCAGAAACGTCAAACATGATCAGCCACGCTGTCAATCTAACATAAGGTAACAGAATCATCAGCCTGGACAGCTGTGGGGTGACATGAAATGTTGCAATTTCCTAACGACAACCCCTGCTTCAAATGTTTTTTATTGAGGGATGGATAACAGAGGCGTATTTTAAGGGTCCTGGGCTGAGTGCCTGAAGCAGGGGGCCCTTTTTGCCGGGTCAGCACTCAGCTCCAGACTCCAGTGTAACCCAAGTCGCCAAACCAAACAAAACCAAGCCGACCGCGGCTGTGAGAATCCCTGCAGGGGAACACTCCAGTCTCCAGCGTGCATGCCCTCCCGCTCTTGCCCTGCCTTAGCACACCACTCGAGCTGCAGCTAGCGGTCCAAGGTCGCACTTCCCCGAGACCGGCACTCGGCGGGGGGGACTTCGGGAGACGGATGGTTTGTTCCTTCCTGTGTTCCACTCCGTACCTACCTAGGTAAGCACGTAAGGTAGGTAGGTACCTGAGGTAGGTCCTAATCCACCCAGGTCGTTTCCTTCCGAGTCCCGTCGGTGCCATCCAGCGCCAAGCCCGGCGACCTTAACTTCGAATGTGGGGGAAGGAAGTAATCGCGGATCCCCGTTTCGTCAATGACAAGCACCTGCCATTGGATCTTTGCTCCAGGCCTTTGCTGTTGCACACTTGCATCTTCATCAACCTTACACTACCCTCGACCTTCACCACGCAGCTTCAGCAGATGACAACTGGCACAACACACCGCCTCGGCCGTTTCAGCATCTCGTTGCATCCATGACACGCCCTCAAACCCGACTCTTCAACCTCGCTGTCCACGCCCGGACAACCGGGATCCCCCAAGCTCCACTCGGAGGAAGCTTCAAGCTCCGGACCTGACCGCCGCCGTGACGTCAATTCTTGTCTTGTCCGTTCTCGTGGGCTACCTTACAACCAATGTCTGCGCATTCGGACCCACGAGCGATCAAGCGCAGCGCAGCATTGGCTGGTGCCTGTAGCCGTGGTCGTTGTCCTCTTCGAAAGCTGTTTCTTGAACCTGACCAGGTTGTTCTCCTGACCAATAGCATGGACCACTTGCCTACGGACGGACCAGTGAAGGGAACCTGAATGGGAAGACAGCAAGAGCCAGGATAGCATTTGTCCTGCTTCTAGCCGTCACTCTATCAATCGATAGTATGCAAGCTGCCAAAATGTCAGCAACCTTGAGGCATTGGGTGCTTACTATTGGTCGTATGTCGCTCGCTTATCGTCTCTCTGCTGACGACTCCAGGACAATGCATCATACAAAGGAAATATGTGGGTGTTTGCGAACATTGTCATATTCTCATTCGTCATAACATATGAACAGCTACCTGGTTATCGCTTCGCTCCATACATCTACAGCATCTGCGCAAATTGCGGCGATACCGAAAATTGGCAGTTGATAAACTTGATCGTATCGTTGCACCAGTTGGCCTCCTTTGTTCCGGTGCCGACCATTCTTGCCTTGTCCGATGCCTTGGCGCCCTTCTTAAGCGTGCCCTGCAATGTGCTCTCGAAGTCGCCCTTCACAATTGTCAGGTCACCCTCCAGCTCTGCCAGCACCTCGCCGCTTTCGCTTCGGAGCTCGAACTTGCTTATGCCGTGGTTAATCTCCAACGGGCTGGGGTTGTACACCTTCATGGTGTTGACGAAACCACCGCCACGCTCCGCAGAGTTGACCTGCGCGATCTTGGGGCCGCCCATGCCAACGATGGGCACATCCTTTGCGTATTTGACCTTGGCCGACAGGCCGAGCGCCTTGATTGTGCAGTCACCGTTGTCAAGTCGCAACACCAAGCTCTCGTCGCACATGATGGCTTTGACGAACGCCATGAAGGCGTTGCGGTCGAGGATCTTGATGAGCTGGTCCTTGACGACAACCTCCGTACCGCCAGACTTGGTCTTGACTTCCGGAAGATCCAGCTTGCCAAAGCAGCCGCCGTTAAACATCATGTCGACGGTCATCGGTGCCATTGTCGCGCCCATGGGTCCGGTGCCTGTGACCCTGCTCACGATTCCCATGACAAAAGTGCTGTTATTCGCACAGCAGTCAGATCATGTCACAGAATGCCACCAATTGCATGCGCAGGAATGACTTACTCAGCCGTGGGCTGCGAGATCTTGATGTGCTCCACCTCCAGCTTGGAGCGGTTGAGAATGGCCTGGGTGATGGCGTCCATTTTGGCTAGTGTGCTGATTTGTGGAAGCGCTAGAGGAGTGGTGACGTTCAGTAAGCTGGTTTGGGTTTTGTTGTAAGTGAGATTTGGTTATTGCAGTTGAAGTTGATTGATGAGTTGATAGGAAAAGCAAGGTGAGGAGCATTGGGTTTTATACACGCTCGCCATCTCGTCCAATATCCTGGTCATCACAACCCAGATACGGCCTCACTGTCGTCACAACGAACACATGCAGCTTGAGCTGCCATGCCATGTGCTATTGAGCTGCCACAACTGCCTCGGAACCTGAGTCTCGTCTCCAACAGAACCCACCGCCACAACACAGTTCGCATAGCTCTTCGCATAGCTTGCTACCCTGCCACACCCCGTCCAAAACTTGACAAGGCCTCAGGGGGTTTAGAACGGCCAGTCCATCAGACGAAGAATGGTTGCTATTCGGTGAGCCCAACACTTCGGATAACACCCCTGCGTGTATGACAGATCGATCAACCCACCGATCCTCCTCTACCTGGAGTCTTGTCCCCCCTCCTCAAAACGGCAATTCCCTGTGCGGTGAAACACCAATGGAGTGCGAGGGTTTTCATCACAGCTCAGAAGCAGGAGCCAGCTCACGCACACAACGCAACGCACCCGCACCCGCATTCGCACAGCTCTTTTCGACGGCGGATCCCGCAATGCGAGTGAATGCTTCTTATTTGGTTTCCATTTCGCTTGGACGTCCCGTTTCGGGAAGCATTGAGCGCTTACCTGCCCTTCTATCCCCCCCACCTTCAACTCAAAAGAAATAGTGGAAGAGAGTCCGGGGACGAGACCTGCGCCGGGCTGGCGGCACGTAGAGTCTCAGTCTCAGCCTCAGCTCTTTCTCTCTCTCTATCTCGCATACTTGACTTTATTCTTTCCCGACCCGCATGTGTCAGCGACGCAACATCTGCCAGCCAGATCCCTTTCTTTTGTCACGTTCCAGAAAGTACTCGAACCTAAGTGGATAAAGAGGGCGCTGTGAACAATGCCCACCTCGCTGATACCTCCCCGAGGCTGACTCGAAATGTTTACGTTGGGGGAAAAGGAGTCAGCCAAGAGGGTTAAAACACGTTTTGCGGATTAATGCTTGAAAGCTGCTAATGCGGGGAGTGGGTAAAGCATCAATCTCGGTACGCAACGTTGGGAAGAAAGAAGGTGAAGTTTGGCATGTGCTCTAGCCTTTTCACCGAGGGACGTTTGGTGTGGAGGTGAACGAGAAGAAGGTGCGGGATGTCTACTGATTGGCGATGCGTTACCCGGCAGTCGTAAACTCAACCCTCTTTTTAGTAAGGATGCGGTTGTATCGCGAGGGCGGGGGAAGGGGGGGGGGGGGGGGGGGGGGGGATTTTGCCGGGAGAAGGTGAGGGGAGGTAAGAGGGAGAGGGGGGTGGGGGTGTTTTGTGGTGGGGGGGGGTGTGGTTCGCGGGCGGAGAAAACACGACCGTTTTGTGGGGGGGGGGGGGGTGGGGGGGGGGGGGGGGGGGGGGGGGGGGGGGGGGGGGTTGGATGAATTTGCCCAGCTAATGTGAAGGAAGTGCGGAGAGGCAGCGAGGTTACGAATGAGAAGAAACGGGAATAGGCTTCGGTCCCATGTGCGTCGGATGAATGATGCGGAGTAAAGACTGCGTAGATCATCTATGGTAAGGTAGGTCTTGCTCGGGAAATCGAGATGAGAAGGAATAATTTGGGCCTGCGTAAACCAAAACATTCCAGTCCAAGGCACACGCATACGTTTCCGGACTCAGGTATGGAATCGAATGGGAACTCGTGGTGATTCATCGCTCTTTTATTGTCGAGCCGGAAAACTGGGTAAGGAACAAGACTAACAGAACAAGAACAAGTTTCTCTCTGTCCCTCAAACCCATTGAGGGTGCCTTTTTTTCTTTTTTTGGTTTCACGGATTCACTCACCTCTCAAAACTCCGCAACCGCCGAGCCGCCCTACGCTAACCTCAACCAATTCCTCAACCACCGGATCCCAAAGTCGTCATCAAAGTAATCAACCATTCAAACAACACCTCTTGTGCGCCGCCGACCACTTTTTTTTCAAGTTCGCTATTCGCCAACCGCCGTCTTTCCCTACAGCCGTCCCACCAGCTTCTGACTCCGATCCGATGCTTGTCTAAGTAACGAAATGAAATGAGCCAAGCAGACACTTTTTGTTCTTAAGCAACAACGAACAGTCAAAGACAACTTCATACTCGGGGAGAGAGTGACTAAAGGGGAGAGAGAAACCAGTCTGTTCTGTCATGCTTGCGTTGCGGCACAGAGAGCCCTTACACTCCAGTAGCGTCATCGAAAACAATCGCGGCCTTGATGGCGCTCTTGTTCTTGATGGACTCGAGAGCCTCGCCAAACTGCTCCAGCTTGAACGTCTTGTTGACGATACCCTTGGTCTTGACCTTGCCCGAGTCAAGGTAGTCAATGGTGGCGGCTGCGCGAGTGTCAGTATGATTGGGCTAGAGTGCCTACTCAAGCAGCAGGTACAGAGTTTTTCGAAGATTGATACGTACGGAACATGTAGGTCTCGGAGAAGGAGCCGAGGATTGTGATCTCGTCACCGAAAATCTTGGAGGGGGGCCATGATACACGAGCAGAGCTGCTGTAGACACTATTTTTTGACACATCAGCAACCATGTACGCTAAAACGGCGCTTTGCTACCTTACCCGTAGACGACGAGCTTGCCACCGCGGCGGACGTAGTTGATGGCATCCTCGAGAATCTTGACGGAACCGGTAGCCTCAACGACGACGTCAAAGCCGTACGGGTGATCCTTCTGGAGCTGGGTGAACTGGACCTGGGGATCGGAGCGGGACAGCTCAATGTAGTTATCGGCAGCATCCAAGCTGCGAGCGAGGTCCATCTTCAGACCTTGAGGGGCCGCGATGGTGACATTGCAACCACCGTTGTGGCGCATGAGTTGAGCAAGCATCTATATCGTGGTGCATCGATCAGTCATTGGCGCACAGGGTGCAGGGTGTAATATCCCGGCCGAAGTGAACTCACAAGACCGGTGGGGCCGGCGCCGAACATGAGGACGCTTGATCCGAGGCGGGGCCGGATCTTGTCCAGACCGTGGCAGGCGCAGGAGGCGGGCTCGAGAAGAGTGGCATCAACATCGTTAAGGTTGTGGATCTTGAAGACCTTGCCGGCAGGGTACGCGCAGTACTCGGCGAAACCACCGTTCATTGTGACACCGTGAGCCTCAAACTGCAAAAAAGGTGTTACTTCAATATCCGTCCATATAAGTGGTTAAGTGGGGTCGGGCATACGTGCTCGCAGAGCAAAAGCTCTCCACGTCGGCAGTAGAAGCACTCATTGCAGAGCTCGCTGTTGTCGGCAGCAACACGGTCGCCAACCTTGAAGTCCTTGACTTTCTGTGCTTTCATGTTAGCAGTCATTCCGTCAGAAGTTGTGGACAATAGCTTTGCTTACAGGTCCAACGGCGGCAACGACACCAACAGTCTCATGGCCAGGAATCAAGGGGAACTTTGCAATGAACTCTCCCTCGTGAATGTGCTATAAGTGATATTAGTTACGTTGCTCGAGGCATGACTGGAGGCCGTGAGGTTCGGGAGGTTTTACCAAGTCTGTGGCGTCCGGGTTAGTCATACAGATCATTGCAAAAGATCACACTCGACTTGCACAGCGTATGCAATGGTACACGAGAGACGACAGTTCACTCACCAGTACCACAAACACCACAAGCTCTAACTTTGACCAGAACATCGTTCTCCCGAAGCTCTGGAAGAGGAACTTGGACAATTGACCAATCCTCGGGCTTCTCGTAGCTGGATGAGGGGTCAGCTTAGCGCCAATGGAGGGGTAGATGGTCCAGCGACCAAAGTTGCGTGAACTGCCACGCTGACCCGATGATGATTCATAGTTGAGAAAGGGGGGCCATACCGGAGAGCCTTCATCTGCTTGGGAAGGTTCGACATGTTGAAAGGTTTTTGACTTGTGCTCTGATGAAGATAGGTGTGCTATCGTATCTTGATGCTCATTTAGCGGATGTTAAGAGAATAAATGAAGTTCAGCCTGTGTTATAGGGGGAGCAGAGAAACGACGGCAGCTAACAACGTACACGTGAGACTCACTGGAGGACAGGCGAGGTGAGGGGAAGCTTGATTTGGTGCTTCTGTGTGAAGCTCCAAGAGGTGGAATGGGTAGCTTTATATAAGGCCTCCTTCGAGCAGCGCGGGGAATGGGCGCATCTTGGGACGGAGATGGGACCAGGGTCCAAGGCGTTGTTGGCTGGCGTGTCTGAGGTCAGGGTACTTACATCTAAATCCTCCCTTAGACTCGCATTGTACGCTCAAATCGGCGAGCTTCGATGGCTACACCGAGCTCATGTACCTATTCATTCGTGTGGTGCCATCCGGCATGTTGGCGTAGGTAGCTGCATCCCGCGTCCGCAGACGCATCCTCGACCACATCGACGCGCCACTCGGCCAACAAATGATGGTACATACACGAGACGGCATCCCACGCCTAGAGAAAGCCCCAGCCTGGCCTGGCCAAACATTGATCGGTGAGGATGAAAAGCACCTGAGAAAGACCGGAGCTGTTGGCAGACCACAGAGCTGAGCAAAGTCTAAACCCCCCTGTCCGTCCAAAAATTGCCCCGCCCCCAGACTTTCAGCGGAGTTATTGCTGCAAACCTGGCGTCATCACGCAGGGCAGGGCTGCCACCAGCAACCAGATTTCCAAGCGCGGGAAAGTCGGGAGGCAATGGCTCTAGGAATAATCGAAAAGCAGGAGAAGAATCGAAATGTGAGGGGGGGCAAGGCCATGACAACACGTCCACGAACGAGCTTCCAACAATCGCCAGACAGTCCAGCTGTCTAGCTCATCCCATTGAACGGGGTCGAGACACTATCATCGAGCCACTCAGAGAAGCGAGAGCTAGCGAGCTGCATCCAAATTGGAGAGCGGGGAGCGTGCAAGAAGTCCTGGTCTCGAATTGTAAGTGTGTAAACCAGACAGTGACAACACCACTTCCACCATCAACAACACCATCTCTTCTTTTCTTTCCCGCCAGGAGGTCCACTTGGACACCGCCGCAGTGCTTATCTTGCACATCCGGCACTCTTCCCCTGGCACACTACCTCAACAAAACATTCCCAAAGCCGGGCCAAGGAGAGTGGGAGCGTGGCAACACCCATGGCACATGACATGAACTTACCGTAGTCTACTCGTCTCGACCTTGCCCGGCGTCCAGGTTCCTGCTGATAGGTATGCGCGCCCGCGATTCTCTCTCCACGCGCTATCCTTGGAGTGCCCCCCCTCGCCGGTTGTTCCCCGGTTTGCTGGCCTTGTAGCGCCAGCCCTTGGCGTGGAGACGCTGCCTCCACATGCAGTTGACTTACGTACCGGGTTGGTGCGAAGATAGTAGGATGTGTCGTTGGATGCTCTGATATGATTCTGAGTCTCTGTCACCCTGAAGTTGGGCTTGATTTGCGTTTGGTGGCTCATAGCTTAATCGTGTCTCTGATTATTGACCTACACCACAAGGTGCTGGGGCATGATAAGATGTCCGTCTTTGCTCGCGCGACTAGCGTTGAGACGACGTTCTTGCAGCTCCCGAGATTAGAAGATGTTCTGCCGCTGATGGTGTGGTGAAGCTGTGTGTAAATGAGATCGGGTTGGGTTAGACAAGACATCGATTGCGTGAGGTGACTTTCATGGCAAGTACTCATGCCCAGGACCTTCTCTTCCTTTCTCATCCCACGGCTCGGGGATATCGAGGTAACCGCGTCCGGAAGCTGGCGCAGGTGCAGAAAGAAGGCCAGGTACGTAGGAGTGAGGGGGAGGGGGGATGAACCCTACCCTCTTCCTGAACGAGCAATGGCACCCAAAGGCAGGGCAAGACGTTGAGGAAGGCGTCCTGGTCTCTTCTGAGCCAATGCAACACATCTCATGTAAAGGCCCCTTCAGGAGGCAGTCCGCTCATTGTGATGTATCACGAGGGAGGGTGGTGCATGGGTGATCTCTCTGACGAAGAGGTGAACTGCCGCCTGTTCAGTAGAGATCTCGGCGCAGTTTGCA